GGGCTGAGTTTTGCTCCGTTTTACAACCTTCTTTGCCGCAGTTGTTAAGCAAATTGCTGCAGTTGCTAAGGAAATCATATGGTTGTTAAGTGAATCTGCCTTCCCCCATTGACTTTCTTGTCAAAAGCCAGTTGGAAAGATTACAATTGTTGATCATATGGGTCTGGGACACCACAGCCGTCATAAATACCATGTTTCCCCGAAAGTAAGGCCTACACCAACAATAAGTCCTAACTTGATTTTTTGGGGGTGGGCCTAATATAAGCCTTATCCCAAAAATAAGCCCTAGTTTGGGGGCGAGGCGCACACCTAAAAATCAAGCTGGGGTGGGGGGTGGAGCTGCCCCACCCACTTACCTTGCAGTCAGGCCTCTCCTTGCCGACCCACTTCTTCTTCTGAGGCCTCTTCTGCAGCCAGGCCTGCATTTCTCAGTCACAGGGCTTTCCGGAAGGCCTGTGAAGCCAAGAATCAAGCTATGGATTCCATCCCTAGCTCGGTTCTGCAAGACCTCAGCAGCCGAGCACCAAGCTATGGATTGAATCCATAACTCGGTACTCGGCTGCCTGGTCCTTCTGGAACGGCCTGAGTGCAAAATGCAGGCCCGAATGCAGCTGCAGAACTTTGGCCCCAGAAAAAGTGGACCGGCTGGGTGGGGCTGTCAGTGCCGGAGATGAGGTAAGGCCTACCCCGAAAATAAGACCTGGTGCCTCTTTTGGAGGGGGAAAAAAAAAAAAAAGGACCCGGTCTTATTTTCAGGGGAACACAGTGTGAGTCCGTTGCCAAGCACCTGAATTTTGATCACGTGACCATGGGGGACACTGCAATGCTTGTAAGAATGAAAGCCAGTCGTGCGTGACTTTTTTCAATGCCATTGCAACTTCACACAGTTACTAAAGGAATGTTGTAAGTTGAGGACTCCATGTATTGTATGAATGTTTCTTCTGACGTTCATTTTTGTTGCGTTTCCCTTCCTTCCCACAGGGTTACTGGTATATGCTGTTGGAAGAGCTTTGCCAGTGCTACTGTAAGGTGGTTCCTGCACCTGTTTGGTTTCGGTACTTCGTTGGCTTAAGAGAATCCGATGGCACCATAGGGTGGAGTTTTGGCATCCTGTTGGCTTTGCTGTATCTTATCCTAAAGGTAAACATTCGTTTCCTTCCAAGCGTCTTATCCTAAAAAGAATGGAGTAACAGTGAAAGCACGGTTTTCTTTTTTTCTTTTTATAATATTTTATTTGTTTTCTAATTTTACAATTAAGTATTTAAAAAGCAGCGTGGTGACTGGGTTAATCAATAGTTCGATAACATACATAAATCTTCAGTATAAATCTCAAGTTACAACATCAGATATTTCCTTTCTTTTCCCCTTAATATCTACTATCTCATTTTAGGCTAATACAGTTCTTATTGTTATCAACTAAGTAAAAACATCCTTAAAAGCACAGTTTTCAGTGTTACAGATAGCCCTTGACTTACAACTATACAGTGCATTCAGAAAGTCCCTTAATGGTTCATTCATTCATTCATTCATTCATTCATTCATTCATTCATTCATTCATTCATTCATTCCACCCAACTCACCTAGAAGCAATTCACCTGGAGGCAGTTCATAATTTTTCCAAGGTCATCTCTGCTTTTCTTTACAGAAATTGATGAATAACCTATTGGGGATGGGGTAGTGAATCCTGCAGTATGCAGGTTGGACTTGATGACCTCTGAGGTCCTTCCCAACTCTAGCACTCTGATATATAGACCTATATAGGAAGCTTGCTCCCTGGTATGCAGGATGCTGCTTATAAACGCTTATATGTGTTTAGACCTCAAAGCATTGTTAGAGACCCCCCCCCACACACACACACTTTACGGTCTGTTCCTGTGGCTCCCCTCTGGGAAGAGGTTTTGAAGTATTTATAGCAGGACCACCCGATTCTGTAATAGCTTTGTTCTCTGTGCCATCCATCTGGTAAACTCGCAAGATTCGTTTTTCTCGCCAGGCACATGTATACATAATCCGAACTAGACTGTGTTGTTTCTCTGTGTCATATAATATATGTGGGTCTATGCATACATCTGTATTTATTTATGTCATATATATGTAGTGTATATTGGAAGTGGTGACCCTTTGAGAGCTGCATGCAACGAAATTTCATTTTAAATGTATGCCGATTAGTGTACAGTACATTCAAAGTGACAATAAAGTTATTATTCTGTTCTGTTATTCTTTTCCATTCAGAAAGTATTCAGACCCCCTTCGCTTTTTGTCAGTTTTGTTAAGCTGCAACCTGATTCTACAGTTGCCGAAATTCATTTTTTCCTCTCTCATTAATCTACACTCAGGACCCCCATAAGGCCGAAGTGAAAACAGAATTTTAGAAATGTCTGTAAATTTATTAAAACAGAAAAAAAAACCTGGAATATCACATGGGCGTAAGCATTCAGACCCTTCACTCAGTACTTTGCTGAAGCACCTTTGGCAGCAATTACAGCCTCGAATCTTTTTGGGTGTGACGCAACAAGCTTTGCACACCTGGATTGGAGGATTTTCTGCCGTTCTTCCTTGCAAATTCTTTCAAGCTCAATCAGGTTGGATGGCGACCATCGGTGGAGAGTCATTGTCAGAGATATTCAATAGGGTTCAAGTCAGGGCTCTGGCTGAGCCACTCTAGGACGGGTCCCCAACCTGCGGCCCGCGGCCCGATAGTGGGCCGTGGCCTACTGGCCACAGGACCGTGGGACAGGCTGGCCAGTGCGTGCATGGTTGGCTGGGGAATTCTGGGAGTTGAAGTCCACAAGTCTTAAAGTTGCCAAGGTTGGGCACCCCTGGTCCAAGCTCATAGGAACATGCCCACTAAATTTAACAATAGGGCACATAAGGACTTCAATTTCTTCTGAAAAATGCTTAAAGTCTGAAACGCCAAGTGAACTATTATTATAGGACAGACCCTAAATTCTCTTCTCTTTTGTTTGCTTTTCAGCTTTTGAGTTTGTTTGCCCATCTGAAAAACTTCAAAAGGATCTTACGGATATTTTTTACAAGACCAGTAAGTATTTGTGTGCTCTAAAGAGAATTATAGATAGACCTCGGCTATAATTGCGCCCAAAATTTCTTTTAATAATAATAATAATAGTAATAACAATAGTAATAATAGTAATAGTAATAGTAGTAATAGTAGTAATAATAATAATATAATAATAATAATAATAATAATATTATAATAATAATAATAATAATAATAATAATAATAATAATAATAATAATAATAATACCATCAAACATCCACATCTGCCTATCCCAGGTCCTTGGGAAGGACTCGATAGGTAGACAAAATGCCAAATCCAATCTGAACATCTGGCTGACTGTGCAATGATCCATAATAATAATAATAAAGTTGGAAGGGACCTTGGAGGTCATCTAGTCCAACCCCCTGCTCAGGCAGGAAACCCTATACCGTTTCAGACTAAGCAAGACGGCTGTTAAGTGAGTTTTGCTCCATTTTACAACCTTTCTTGCCACAGTTGTTATGTGAATCACTGCAGTGGTTAAATTTGTAACACAACTGTTAAGCGAGCCCAGTTTCCCCACTGACTTTGCTTGTCAGAAGTTCGCAAAATGGGATTACGTGACCCCGGGACACTGCGACGGTCATAAATATGAACCCAGTTGCCAGACGTCTGAATTTTGTTCACGTGATCATGGGGGAATGCTGCAACAGTTGTAAGTGTGAAAAACGGTCCTAAGTTAGTTTTTGTCAGTGCCGGTGTAACTTCAAATGGTCACGAAACAAATGTTTTTAAGTCGAGGGCTACCTGTATGATCTGCAGGCGGATGAGTCTCACCCTTCATAGAAGTTCGAAAACGAATCCATGTTTATTTCAATCACAGATTAAAGAATTAATTCAGTGGGCCCTATTGCAATGATTCTCTGATGTTTTGGAAGGCAGAGAGAGTGAGATCTCTGAGCCCCAGAAAATGTCTTTGATATTGAAAACAAGCTAAACTAAGCCCCTAAAACAGGGGTCTTCAAACTTGGCCCTTTGATGACTTGTGGACTTCAACTCCCAGAATTCCTCAGCCAGGCACACGTGCCTGGCTGAGGAATTCTGGGAGTTGGCCCACAAGTCATCAAAGGGCCAAGTTTGAAGACCCCTGCCCTAAAACTTCCTAGTCTTCAATAAGACCACAGTGGGGTGGTAGCTATCGGAACTTTTCCCCCATTGCCGGCAATGGGGTGGGCGCAGTTTCCTCGTGACGCGTCCGGCCCGTGGGCCGGCAGTTTGACACCCCTGCTCTAGAATAACACTGGAACTGACAGGAGAAGGTATCAGTCATCAACAGACCCATAGAGGTAATCCACATTTACACACCATTCAGAAGACAAAACCTAGAAAGAAAACCAAAGGACTGGAACACCCCTTCAGCAGCCAGCGTTCAGATAAGCAGGGATTAACACCAGACAAACAATCAAGCAGAAACCAATACCCTAATCAAGGAATCGTCAATGAAGAAACCTCACCTCCAGCCAAACTGGCAGGTCAAGGTACTATATATAAACAGGCAGCAAATCCCACACTCCCTGGCTCTGATGATGTTACCTAGTTGAGTCACAAAACGTCTGCAAGCAAACAACCAAACTCAGAGAGCCATTAGAACTCCACAAGAACTGACGTTAAGCCTGCCCCGATGGTTGCGGTTCATTGTGCCATAGTTTATAGCAGGGGTCAACAACCTTTCTGGGTTGGCGGCCCAGTGGGAAAGGGAGGGGCAGACACCTTTACGCATGCATGCGCACACCGTCAAACGTAGCTGCATGTGCATATGTGTGAATGGGGCTGTGAGCATGTGCGCTCCAAAATGGGGCTGCTAGCGCAGGTGCGAGGGTCGTACCGAGGCTAGAGCCGGCACAAGATTCATACCGAGGCTAGCGCCAGCATGAGAATCATGCCAAGGGTCGCGTTGAGGCTAGCGCAGGCGCAAGGGTCATACTATGGCTAGTGCTGGCACGAGATTCATACTGAGGCTAGTGCCGGCATGAGAATCATGCCGAGGCTAGAGCAGTGCAAGATTCACGCCAAGGGTTGCGCTGAGGCTAGCACCGGTGCGAGGGTCGTACCAAGGTTAACACCAGCACGAGGTTCATACCGCGGCTAGCGCCGGCGTGAGAATCATGCCAGGGGTCGTACCAAGGCCAGCGCAGCGGAAGAGTCATGCCAAGGGTCGTACCGAGGCTAGTGCCGGCACTAGGTTCATACCGAGGCTAGCGCCGGTGCGAGAATCATACCAAGGGTCGTGCCGAGGCTAGCGCAGCGGAAGAGTCATGCCAAGGGTAGCACTGAGGCTAGCGCGGGAGCAAGGGTCATGCTGAGGCTAGCCCCCGAGGATAGCACTGGCGCGAGGGGGGTTGAGTGCACATGCAGGCACTGGCCAGCCCCTTACGCGGCCCAGTGGCCAAGAGGCTGCGGTCCAGTAGTGGGCTGCAGCCCATAGGTTGGGGACCTCTGGTTTATAGGATTATAATGTTAACATAATAGTTGGTATCAGTTACTTTAGAGCAGGGGTAGGCAACCTTGGCTCTTTTATGACTCGTGGACTTCAACTCCCAGAATTCCTGAGCCAGCCATGCTGAGGAGAAAGGGAGAGGTTTCCATGCTGAGCCATGCTGGCTCAGGAATTCTGGGAGTTGAAGTCCACGAGTCATAAAAGAGCCAAGGTTGCCTACCCCTGCTTTAGAGACAGAGAATTTTTTTATTTTTTTATTGTGACAGACGTGTCTGTTACTCAAAAGGCCCAGAGAGGGCGATGATTAAAGTGTCTTAAAAGCAGCTGGAAGGACTGAATTCCTCCAAAGATCCATCTAAGCTTTGCTGTACAGCTTTCTGATTGATTGATTGATTGATTGATCGATCGATCGATCGATCGATTTACTCATTGCATTGATAATAGCTGCCCATCTCACAGAAGGCAACTCTGATGGCGTACGATACAAATTCTGAGTGTTGCACTAAGTCACACACTGTGTGTGCGTCTGCTTTCTCCTGCGAGCAGAGTCTTGTGTTAACAAAGCGGCTGGTAGTTGTGGGGTCCTCGGTGTTCCCTGAGCTGGGTTGTTTTCTTGCAGATGTTTCATTCCCAAACTAACTAACATCATCAGCGCAAGTAGCTGGCGACTGAAAGTCTTATTATTTTATATAAATAAAATTAATCACATCTGCACGGCTGCTTTGGAAAGTCCAGATAGGTATGGGTCGAATCCTTCCTGTCCAACAAGATCTGCTCTGTATTTTTTTTAATCGAGGGTGCAAAACAGCCCATAAATGAACCTGGGCTTAAGGTCAGTAAAAGAGCAAGGTGGTTCTGGGTCAGAACATGAAACTAAAAGGGAATATTTGCAGCTCAGGATGGAAATGAGGAGTTCTTGGTGGTCTCTTGAGCTTGGTGGTCTTTGCAGACATTTCATGACCCAAACTAGGTAACATCATCAGTGCTAGAAGGGAGTGGGGTTTTGCACTGTTGATGTAGCCTAGTTTGGTAATGAAACGTCTGCAAGGAAACAACCAGGCTCAGAGAGCACCAAGGATCCCTAAATACTCTCTCTTTTCTCCAGCACCTCTGATGTTATTTTCTACTCCTCCTCCTCCCCCCTCCCTTTGCAGAGCTACGGAGTGGTGGCCAGCAAGAGACAACGTGCTGACGCAGATGATCTGTGTGCTATTTGTCAAGCTGAGTTTCAGAAGCCGGTTGTCCTCCTCTGCCAGGTAACACACTTGGCACTCAAATGCTTGTAAGCCGCACCTTGTGTGCTCCTGCACTGAAGACCAGAAAATGGGACAGGAAACAGTCAGTGTGCACCGTTCTTATTGTAACGGTACTTCCGTAACAAGCACATAGTTGGTCTTGCAAATATTGGTAGATCCTTTGCCTTCAAGCATCCTAATTCTTGCATGAACATCACCAGATCTGAAACTGAGTTTTAAGACAAAGTGGAAATATCTGGAGGCTTTTTGGATCCCAATTACAGGTAGTCCTCGACTTACAACCGTAACGGAGCCTGTCCATTTTGGTCATAAGCTGTGACAGTTGTAAAATGCCTCATCATATGACTAGCCTGATTTTACTACCCGCTTTGGTAAAAATCAGGTGAATTACTACCTTCGTTAAGTGATTGTGGTAGCTGTTAAGTGAAACTACTGTACTCTACAGAGCAGGGGGTGGGGAACCTTGGCTCTTTTATGACTCATGGACTTCAGCTCCCAGAATTCCTGAGCCAGCATGGCTCAGCTTGGAAATCTCTCCCTTTCCCCTCAGCATGGCTGGCTGAGAAATTCTGGGAGTTGAAGTCCACAAGTCACAAAAGAGCCAAGTTTTTCCATCCCTGCTCTAGAGCAATTCTGCTGAAAACTGGATGTAAACACCAGGTCTGTGGTAAAATCGTAAATCGTGGTCACGTGACCGTGGGATTCTGCAAATAGTGCCTGAAATGTCATGTGACAGCGGGGGGGGGGGGAGACCAGCACTGTTGGAACTTTGGAACTGGGTCATTAGCACCTTTTGGGGATTTGTCATAATCTGTCAAACCATCGCTAAGTGACTGGTTGTAAGTCAAGGACTACGTCTACTAAGTTCAAAACAACGGCAGAGACTTTGCAGCTCAGCATCGGTTTTCCAGATCTAGTTATTCCCCCTCCCTTCCTTTGATACATCCAGGAATGATGCTGAGCAATCTGGGCAGTATACAGAAATGTTGACCCTGCCCTATAATAATTGCACACATTTCTAAAGCAATATCATTCTTAATTGGGGCGGCCTGATGGCTCAGCAATTAAGACACTGGGGCTGTCGGCTGGAAAGCCAACAGCCGGGGTTTGAGACCCACGCGTCAGGCAAGGGGTGAGCTCCTGTCCTCGCCCCAGCTCCTGCCAATCTAGCAGTTTCAAAAAGTACGCATACACAAGTAGATAAATAGGTGCCACTTTGGTGGGAAAGTAACAGCGTTCCGCGATGTCATGAGTGCAGAAATGTCTTTGGAGGGTGCCGGCTCAATGACCATTGAAATGGAGATGAGTAGCGCCCCCTAGAGTCAGCAACAATTAGTGGTGTAAAAGCTGCAGTTAAAAATAAAAGACCTTTATTTTTCTTAACCATTCTGAGGAGATTGGTTGCTAACTCAAAATAGCTGTCACGGTTCCGATAGATGAGACCAGTAAAAGAGAACTCCAAGGCAAAAACGTTTCCTTAAAGACCATGTTTATTTGGCTACATAGTATCCGCTGGATCAAAAGTGAAACCAAGACTGAAGCCCCCCCCCCAAAAGTTACAATGCTACAAAGTTGAACTTCCCACCCCAGTAATATATCATAAATCACATTCCCCAATTCACTACTTGAACGGGCTTTCTATCAAGCCAAAATGTAATCAGCAATGACCTTGGTTCCCACAGAACAATTTATTGTTTTGACTAAGCTAAAAAATACTCATCCCCCCCTCCCAATTCTGTGGCAACCGAAAAACCGAAGGGAAAATGGCTTCAGCCAAATTCGTTTGTAAAGTTGACAATAGCTCTGCGTGGGTGATGGGGGAGGAGATGTTCCTAAAGGGTTCAGCTGATATTTACCGTTGTTGTTCGTGCATTAATCAGTTTGATTTCGAGCTGAGCAGTATCAGTTGAACAACAGTTGAGTGTGTCAGTGAAGATTCCCACTCAGCCAAGTAGAATTTTCTGGAAGTTACGGTGACTAGAACTTTTTTTCTTGCTGGTTCGAAATAATAATAATAATAATAATAATAATAATAATAATAATAACAACAACAACCACAACAACAACAACAACACAATAACAACAACAACAACAACAACAATAATAATAATAATAATAATAATAGTTGAAAGGGACCTTGGAGGTAATCTAGTGCAACCCCCTGCTCAGGCAGGAAACCCTATACCATTTCAGACAAATGGCTGTCCAGTCTCTTCTTAAAAACCTCCAGTGTTGGAGCATTCACCACTTCTGGAGGCAGGTTGTTCCACTGGTTAATTGTTCTAACTGTCAGGAAGTTTCTCCTTAATACTAGGTTGCTTCTCTGTTTGGTTAGTTTCCATCCATTGCTTCTTGTCCTGCCTTCAGGGGCTTCGGAGAACAGTATTGGTCACCGCGATATAAAAAAGATGTTGAGACTCTAGAAAGAGTACAGAGAAGAGCAACAAAGATGATTAGGGGACTGGAGGCTAAAACATATAAAGAACGGTTGCTGGAATTGAGCATGTCTAATTTAATGAAGAGAAGGACGAGGGGGGACATGATAGCAGTGTTCCAATATCTCAGGGGCTGCCCCAAAGAAGAGGGAGTCAAACTATTCTCCAAAGCGCCTGCTGTAGTCATTTCCCTGATGTTTGCATGCTCCTGTAACCAACGCTATCCTGTCTCTTTCCAGCACATATTTTGTGACGAGTGCATCGCCCTGTGGCTGAACCGAGAGAAGACGTGTCCCCTGTGTCGAACGGTCCTTTCCACGCACGTCAACAAGTGGTACGATGGCGCAACCTCTGCACAATTACAAGTCTATTAAACAAACTAAAAAATAAACTGGCTGTGTGCTTCACAGTATGGACTCATTTGAACGCCAAGCGTGCACGTGTTAAAAGAGGATATGACTGGATGGAGAGAGGGATACAGAAGGAAAATAAGGCCTTGGGTTTCTCCACTGACTATATTTGAATTCATTCAGATACCGAGCGTATATACTACTTAATTTTCCATATGGAATTAATCCTTTCAATGCTGCTTCTGGGAAATTCTCAAACTTCTCTTTGAGTATCAAATGATTATTTTTACAGTCACTAGTCTGCCAAATCAGCAACGGGATACCTTTCTTGCATCCAGTGTCAACATCTGGTGCATGCAATCTTTAGATTCGGCGCTAGACAATCCGCCTTATCGGATTTGCACGTGTTTGGTTCCCTTGGGGATGCTCTAACCATTGGACCTGGCCATCACAGGGCGAGAATCATGGAATCATTTCTGCTTTCCATGTCCATAAAGCTCAGACTTCAGTTATGCAAACATGGGTGAAGTTTTCTACATTTTGTAAGTCTGAATTTTAAAGAACAAAGGTTTTGCCCTATATTTTGTCATAAGCAGCTAGATTTTTACTAAAGAGGAAAGCTGTATTTTAGTGATCCTTTAAAAAAAAATGTAGCGTATAGTTGATGAAAATAAATGCAGTTTGAATCTTGTCCGCCTGCGATTCTTGTGTTAAACCTTTTGTATATTTATAAACTCATTTTTTTCTGCATTTATATGTATGACATGAATTCACTGGTGACTGAGGAATAGATAGGTGAGCACACAAAGTCTACTACAGAATTCCCCAACCTTTCCAGCTTGGTGGCCCAGAAAGAAAGGAAGCAGCAGGGAAATGTAGACACGTGTAGCCTGTGCACAAATGGGTGCATGTATGATGGTGCCCGCTAGCGTGAGTGCATATGTGCAAGTAGGCCGCGCACGCTGGAACCCACATGTGTAAACGGGCTGCGCGCACTCAGGGCATGTGCGCTGGTACACACGTGCATGCATAAACAGGCCACTGGTGCCCACATGATGTTGGTGCTAGCACAGGGAAGTGTGTAGTGGGGTGCCCCAGGGCTCTGTTCTGGGATACAGGAGGATCTGGACAGACTTGAACACTGGGCGCTAGAAAGTGTGCAGAGAAGAGCAACAAAGATGATTAGAGAAGGACGAGGGGGGACACGATAGCAGTCTTCCAATATCTCAGGGGCTGCCACAAAGAAGAGGGAGTCAAGCTATTCTCCAAGGCGCCTGAAGGCAGGACAAGAAGCAACGGGTGGAAACTCATCAAGGAGAGAAGCAACCTAGAACTAAGGAGAAACTTCCTGACAGTTAGAACAATTAACCAGTGGAACCACCTGCCTCCAGAAGCGGTGAATGCTCCAACACTGGAAGTTTTCAAGAAGAAACTGGACAGCCATTTGTCCAAAATGGTATGGGATTTCCGGCCTGAGCAGGAGGTTGGACTAGATGACCTCCAAGGTCCCTTCCAACTTTACCATTATTATTATTATCCCTGCGCATGTGCAAATAGGGCCGTTTCTGACCGTGCAGTGGTGCTACCGTGGGGCTCACTTGCTCAGGTGCTCACCTGCTCACTTGCTATTTCTGGGGCCCGGTGGTCAACAGGCCTCGGCCCAGTACCAGGCCGCAGACCATAGGTTGGGGACCCCTGGTCTAATATATTAGAGCACCTGGTTGACGAGACTTTCTTGATTTGAAGGATCATATTGAAAGATAAATTAAAGGCAGTCTAAAAGTTGGTGGCAATTCTTCACACAAATTGCACTGGGAATGTATCCTAATTCTAACTGTTCAGACTACCAGACTAGAGCAGCTGTTGACCCAAATGTAGATGCTCAAAAACACATTGATCTGAAAATCTGGATTCCAAAGACGTCTGATCTGTACATTGCTTCACTCTCTAGCAATCTAAGGTACAAGTCAACTTGTAGTCAATTTAATGAGTGCGACTTGAGCCCGAAATTTCTATTGTTAAGTGAGCCAGTTAAGTGATTGTTGCCCAATTTTATGTCTTTCCTTGCTAGTTAAGTGAATCACTGCAGTTCTTTAGTAACTGCTCGTCAGAAGGATACAAAGGGGGATCACATGACCCCAGGACACTGCAACCGTCATAACTATGAGTCAGTTGCCAAGCGTCTGAATGTTGTTCACGTGACCGTGCAATGGTCGTTAAGTGTAAAAAATGGTTAGAAGTCACTTTTTCAATACTGTTACAACTTTGGTCACTAAATGAACTGTTGTAATTTGAGGATTACCTGTGTACAGGTACCTGTCCACTTACAACTATCTTTGGCACTTACAACTCTCGCAGCCTCCCCAGAGTTACGTGATCAAAATTCAGGCACTTGGCAACTCGCGTGTATTTGTGAGAGTTGCAGCCTCCCGAGTTATGTGATTGCCATTTGTGACCTCCCCAGCCAGTTTCCAACCAGCAAAATCAATGGGGGAAGCTGGATTCACTTAATGACCATGGGATTCATTTAACAACTGCAGCAAAAAAAAAGGTGGTAAAATCAGGTGCAATTCGCATAACCGCCACCTTCCTTACTGATGGAAATTCTGGTCTCCTTTGTGGTCGTTGAGCAGTTTGCATTTGTATTTATTCAGAATAACAGAACTGGAAGGGATCTTGGAGGTCTTCTAGTCCAACCCCTTGTTTAGGCAGGAAACCTTATTAATTTTTATGCCGCTCATCTCCCTTATAAGGTGACTGTATAAGGACTGGATTTGAATTCAGACTGTATCTGAATGGATTCATTGACCTACAGCAGGTGTCTTCAAACTTGGCCCTTTTATGATTTGTGGACTTCAACTCCCAGAATTCCAACTCCCAGAATTCTGAATGGATTCATTGACCTACAGCAGGTGTCTTCAAACTTGGCCCTTTTATGATTTGTGGACTTCAACTCCCAGAATTCCTCAGCCAGGCACAGGAATTCTGGGAGTTGAAGTCCACAAGTCATAAAAGGACCACGTTTGAAAACCCCTGACTTACAGTATGCTCACTCATTATTGACTTGGGTTCATTAGTTTTAATTCATCAAAATCCGGAAAGCCAAACTCAAACCAACTTTGCCCAGAAAGTAAACAGAAGCATGAATGAAAAGGAATCTACGTGTCCCAGTATAATGTTGCAGGATCCAATCTAGGTCAGTCACTGGGACGAGAGATTTAGTCTTCTGAGCTTTGGGATTCGTGCTGGAGCCCATCCTCAGGGAACCTCTCTACCTTGCTCAATAGTAGTAACTGCGAGAGGGACCTCGGAGTCCTAGTGGACAATCATTTAAATAGGAGCCGGCCGTGTGCTGCAGCTGCCAAAAAAGCCAACACAGTGCTAGGCTGCATTAACAGAGGGATAGAATCAAGATCACGTGAAGTGTTAATACCACTTTACAATGCCTTGGTAAGGCCACACTTGGAGTACTGCATCCAGTTTTTGCTCACCACGATGTAAAAAAGATGTTGGGACTCTAGAAAGAGTACAGAGAAGAGCAACAAAGATGATTAGGGGACTGGAGGCTAAAACATATAAGGAACGGTTGCTGGAATTGGGTATGTCTAGTTTAACGAAGAGAAGGACAAGGGGGGACATGATAGCAGTGTTCCAATATCTTAGGGGCTGCCACAAAGAAGAGGGAGTCAAGATATTCTCCAAAGCGCCTGAAGGCAGGACAAGAAGCAATGGGTGGAAACTAACCAAAGAGAGAAGCAACCTAGAACTAAGGAGAAACTTCCTGACAGTTAGAACAATTAACCAGTGGAACAACCTGCCCTGACAGTTAGAACAATTAACCAGTGGAACAACCTGCCTCCAGAAGCGGTGAATGCGCCAACACCGGAAGTTTTTAAGAAGAAACTGGACAGCCATTTGTCCGAAATGGTATAGGGTTTCCTGCCTCAGCAGGAGGTTGGACTAGATGACCTCTGAGGTCCCTTCCAACTTTATCATCATCATCATCATCATCATCATCATCATCATCATCATCATCATCATCATCATCATCATCATTATTATTATTATTATTATTATTATTATTATTAATTCAATTTCGCAGCTACTAAGATTGTTGGCCGAGCAGGTACAAAAACAGCCGGGGAAATGATTGAAGCCTGGGAAACGGACCCTTTGTCAATCAACAGGAGGGCTGCTGTACCACCCACTTATCAGGTACCTAGGAGGCAAGGGCTTGGCATCACAAGGAAATGACAACCAACGACTTAATAGCCAGCCATCTCTGTGCATAAATGATTCACCTGTGGAGATGGTTACCAGCATCAAATTCCTGGGTGTGCAGCTAACGAGCAGGCTGGCTTGGTCGCTCAACAGTGAGAAACTGGTGAAGCAGGCACAGCAGAGCCTGCATTTTCTGCGTCGCATGAGAAAAGCACATCTTTCTTCCCCTATCCTGACCACTTTCTACAGGGACAATCGAGAGCATCCTGTCATACAGCATCACAGTCGGGTTTAGAAGCATCCCTGCTTCAGACAGGAAGGCGGTGCAGAGAGTGGTGAGGACGGCAGAAAAGATCATTGGCAGTTCCCTCCCTCCCACCCAGGACATGGCACAGAAGCGTTGCTTGAGGGTCCGCAGGATTGTCTGGGACACTACACATCCTCTTCACGACTTGTTTTCTTTGTTACCTTCTGGGGGGGGGCTTTGTGGTATCCGTAGCAGAACATCCAGATTCAGCCATAGTTTCATCCCATACAGCATTAACCTTGTGAACTCTCAAGCTTCCTCCTTCCGTTATATATTCAAGATGGACAGTATTTAATATTTATTTTTTTTATGTATATGTAGGGGTGTGGGTCTATACATATGTTGTACATAGTATGTTTTAGGTGTGTGTCATGTATGTTTCACTTTGAGAGTGGGCAACTAAATTTCATTTTTGATGTGTGCCGTTGTGCCCACAGTAAAAAAAAAAAGATAATAAAGGTTCTTATCTAACCCAATCAACATCTAAAAAGAGGCACACAACCAGGCACCACATAAATATTATACACAAAATAGCCCATAGCACACATTTTGGTGAGAGACAAGTTCCCTGAAGATGGGCTCCAGCATGAATCTGGAAACTCAGAAGACGAAACCGCTGATCCTGGTGACCGACCCAGATTGGATCCTGCAATCAGAAGCAGGCTTCCTTATTCAAAGTTAATAATGGATCCGTTTTATTTCTTCCATGGAGTGTTTTGTGAGAATCTCTTACTTTTTAAAAAGCTACACCTCTCTTTCCCTACAGGTACTATTTAGCCGCACATTTTTGCTTTCAGGGGCCCTAACACAGTGATGGAGAACCTTTTAGAGACTGAGTGCCCAAACCACAACCCAAAACTCATTTATTGCAAAGTACCAGGGTTGCATCAGCATTGTGGTGCCCTCAGGAGGGGCATGGAGGCGTGGCCCACTGGGCGGGCATAGCTGCGGTCACGGCAGACTGGGTGGGCGTGGCTGGGGTGGGCATGGCCACCTCAATGTTGCTCATGGGGGGATGCCTGTGGGGGCCGGGCAGGGGGAGATCCAGGGGGACTGTGGTGGGTGGAGTGGTAGGCAGGAGGCCCAGCATAGATGGGGGCAGGCACGCAATCCTAGCTGGGATTGGGGGGGCATGGTGCCAATGGGGATCCGGCTTTCCCTGC